TAATTACGATTAGAATTATTGCAAAAGAAGAAAACTTTCTTTATTTAGAAATGCCCTTGTGAACTCTATAATCGATATTCATTATATTTTTCAACATAACGTGTCATCATTTTAGTAATAAATCTGGAAACAAAATGATAGTCGAACTTCAAGCATAAAACTCTCGTAAAATGTTTAGTTTTGTGTCAAGAACGGGCGGACGGCGTCCTATGGTACGGCATCGTTGATGAGTTTTAAACGAACTTTATGAGGTACCAAGTAAATATTTATTACGGAGATGGTTTGTTCTTATAGGGAAAAGATAGCGTTATTTTTATGATAAGCTTTTATGATTAAGTTTTTAATAATTCAACCATTACAAGCGAGCTATTAGCCCCAAGCACTAAATGGTTACTGTTGACAACTATTAATATATATATATATATATATATATATATATATATATATATATATATATATTATTAAAGGATAAGTAAGTAAAGTCTAAATTTGGCTGTTATGAATATAAATCACTAGTTATATATTAGTATAGAAACGCACATTATGTTAAAGTACCATATCGCCGATTCATTCAAAGTCATATTCGTTACAGTTACATTTTTTTATCGAATATGGGTGATAAGCAAGCACATAGTCCACCGGATGGTTTGTCGGTGCTGTGGCCCATAGACATCTACATTTTTATCCTTGGTTTAAGAATCAAAATGCACATGCGTTGGCACCCCTAAGATGGAATGCCTCGTTTTGGTAAAAAGTGTCTCCGCTTTCCAACACTTAACATATGATACACTGCAGCATAACGCTGCTGATTTTCACTGGTATCCTGAGAGAGTGTGGACTTACCCCGGTTGAGTCGAGCCAAGCCGAGCCGAGCCGAGCAATTCGTGCTGCAACCAAAATATAGCTGCAGCGTGGCTCTACCACGTACAAAATCGGATCCGAGTCCAATATCCGACAAATACAACGGAACATATTTCGGAAGTATGCATGAAAACTATTTTTAAAATAGAATTATCCCCGTATGATGTTAATAAATTCTCGATAGCAAGTTCCCATTCATTATACGACGAAAGTTGCTAAGCACACTTACAAGAAATATATCTTTTTATTTTACCTACTAATCGTTGCCGACATTTATTGTGGAGAATAACAAAACAAAATCCTTGAATTGGGATATTTTTATATTCTTTACTCATAACTTTAAATGAGTAATTTATATACAAACTAGTTTGCCAGGCAGACGTTGTTCTGCCCTTTTCGAGGACCTTTGTCATATCCTATTGAAATCCTTGAATTCTCAAAAAAATTGTGGATCACTCATGGGCAAAAAAACTATCCTATCTCTCAAAATGGACCAATCTGCACATGGTGTGTAAATTTGATTAAAATCAGTTAAGTAATTTAGGAGTCCATCGCGGACAAACAACGTGACACGTAATTGATATATATATTATTTTTTCAATTTAATAATATTCATTTTAATATTGATTGGTTTCCATTTTTCAGAGATATTTAATATTTAGACGAATACGAGAGAATGAGACTGTCACTTATTATTTCATAGCGTTATAGCCCACTTAGGAAAAGGAGGAGGCTCACAATGCGATTGTTTTTATTGTTTATATTTTAATAGTGAATCGATTATTATGATTATTGTTCTATTAAATAGGTACACAGGGGCGTAATAAAAATATAGATTTTTAGAAAAATTCCACCCCTTATGTTGGCAAAATAAGGAATGAAGTTTTTGATGTAACTGTTTAACCAGTCATGATATTATATTAATTTCCTAGTCCACTTAAAATAGTAAAAAGGTACTTTAACTCTTCGATACACTACATATATCTTAGCTCCGGTTTCTGAATGTGAAATTATTTTATTCGATTTATTTATTTGAAGGCTTTCACTTTTTGTTAAAAGTGTATTTTTTTCTTTTAAACTTTCATATTCATTCTTTATGTTGTTTTCATATTTTGAACGAGTGATGAATAAAATTATGTGGCATGATTGTTTCATCATTATTCTCTTTCGAAGTCTATTTGCGAACACTATCTTCTCGTTCGCTTTATTCCGTTACCGTTACGGTCTATCAAAAGCCTTGGTACTGCTGAACATAAGCCACCCGCACGTGCGGCCGGCGGGTCGGCAACCGCAGTTTTTTTAGATATTATTAGAAAGACGCTGCTGCGCATCTCCTGCTTTATTTGCCTCTGGCACCTCTTACGACACCCAGGGGACGATATGAGGTAGGTTCTTACAACGCCACTGCATGGCTACTTCGATTTATTAATTTATATATTTTAGCCTGTTTATGTCGGTTAAGGGTACTTAGAAATTGGCCCATCTTCAATATATAGCCAGTGAAAAATAATGCATAGTATTAGGATCTGTAAAAGGGTCTTTAACCCTATAACAGTGTTCACCATAACCAAATTTATCTCGCAAGAATATTTTAAAGCGTCAACCTAGATCCCAGAGTGAATAAAATTATTATTCTACTGCAAGGAATTTGAAACCATGTTACAAAATTTTAGCTGCGATAACTATCAAAGCGAGGAGGAATGTTGGATATATATAGCGGCAGCAGACAGTGTTGCTATATAAACGTTTTTACTTCTTAACACTTAAGAGAGATAAATAACATATGGAAGATGTTATATTACATTTTTATAAGTGTTTACAATATGGGTGACAAACGAACACATAGTCTACCTCATAGTAAGTAAATGCTGCGACCCATAGCCATCTTCATCTATCTAGACTTGTTTACTTGATAAGAGGCATTCCATCTCAGTCCTTAGGGGTAACAACGCATCTGCATTTTAGTTCTTAATCGAGAAATGATCGATGAGATTATAACATGAAATGACTAGATGTCTATGGGCCACAGCGTCCACTTACCACCTTTTGTCTTTTGTCACCTTTATTCTATATAAAAAGGCCTTTAATAATATTACGCTAGTAAATAAAAAGGCATATTTTATTGTTTTGGTGTACACCTGCAGGCATAGACACAAAATTAAATGTACCGTAACTACTGACTATCTTAAATATCTTATCTTAAACATTTACTCATTTTTGAGGCAGAGCACCAATAACACTAAAAAAACATGTCCCTTGCGGTCGCCCACCTATAGTGAGTCGAAATAACGAACTTATTTTAAGTGTTATTCGTGATTTATTAATTTATACTGTAATGTTGGAAGGTGTCTATGAGAAGAAGACGTGTTGCTTCGTCTATGTCTTTAATTTGATTATTTACTTTATTCCAAACTTAACACATTTATAAACACTTATAAATAGTCGCGGGGCTACACCTCTCACAGACAACAAAAATAATATAGTACATTTGTTTTTTTTTTTTCATTTAAAAATATAAAACTTAAGCCTATTAAGAATATAAATTACAAAAGTGCAATTTATCGAAGGTTCAGTCAAGTAGTCGGTTTTTTAATTATTAAATGACTGTTTTTTTTTAAATAAAACTGGTATAACAAACGAACAATTCACCTGGTTGTAAATGGCTTATGCATTCCATAGACACTTGCATCCATCTGAAAACAAATCAAGCTTGTCCAAAACGTGTGAATGATACCTTGCCTAAAATGTGTGAATGATACCTAAGTTACGTAGTAGTAAATTTTCTTATTATTTACTTGCTTATATATGAATATTGTGAAGTAAAAATTATAGAAACAGCCTACTTCTACTGGGAACCAGTTTTTTAATTTATAAGAGAAAAAGAACCCAAATTAGCATACCTCACAGTGCCTCAAAATAATTAAAATCTTTAGAGCTTTAATGGTGTCGATAGAAAACGACAAAGTGAATATTTAAGTCCAGTAATAGTTACGTGAACGACGAGGAACGCCACGAAACTGCGACGCTCCGCACTTAAAATTCGGGAAAGTGGGAAAAAAGTGATCGAATAACAGTGTTTTTGGTCTTAAAAGTTGCATCTAAACGAGACCTATCTTTTGGTGTTTTTAAAAATAGCCGGACGATATTTTTTCGAACTTTTTCAGGTGAAAAACCATTTTTCCTTATATGACAGCAAATTGTGAAGACGCCGCTGCAAAGGGGGAGACCTGTGCTACAAAACACCGTATCCGGTTTTAGCCGGAAATCATTATCTTGGACTTTACCAGCCTATTTGCAGTTCTTTCCCAAGTATGTACTGTAAATTGAAGCAATTATTGTAATAAAATTATGAGTGATAACCTATTTTTGTTGACTATCAAGTGCATCAACTCTTATAGAATAACAGTGCAAAATTTTAGATATTTTTTTTGAACAAGTACTTTTCTTTTACATAACTTCTATTTCTTTTAAATTATTTATATTCTTATTATTCCTTTAATTTATGAGTGTATATTATCTCTGTACATTAAAAATGCACTTTTTAAACCAAAGTATATATCAATAATAGACATTTTAATTTTTTTTCAAATAAATTTATTATTTTCGTGTTACCAACTTTTTACATTGTATTATGTGTGTTGAGTGAAAATGGCGCCGTCACAGGGCGAACCCCTCCCCCTCCCAGCTTCGGCCGAGGAGGTTAAAGACATAGACAGTTTTTATATGGTGATAAGCAAACTTACCTCCTGCATCAGTACCGCGGTAAACGAAGGGAAGAGGTTGACCGCTGCTAATACGCGGCTCATTAGCCACGCTGCTGAATAAATTAGAACTGCCACACGATCTCTACTTTCCATCATGTCTGTCGCCTCCTCTAGCACACCAACATCAAACAGCGAGTTAAAGGATGAGATCCTCGCATGTGTGAGGGAGGAGATTGCCAGTGTTAAAAAACTTGTCTCAGCCAACAAGCCCTCTCGCACAAGCAGCAGCAGCGACTCACGGGGCTCCTGCACCTGCTGGGCCAACCGCCCTCCGCACTAAATGCGACTAAACCGGCGATCATAGTTAGCCCAACCGTCGAGGTTAAGACACGCCAGGAGGCTGTGGAATTATTTAAAAAAACATTAATTACCGCAATGCTAATTACGCACCGGCTCGTATTCAGCCTGTGTGTCGAGTTCGACACGGAGACTCAGAGCAATGACACCCTAACCAGGCTCGAGGGAAAAACTGGAATTAAGGCTGAACCCGTACGGAAACTTAGACCCATGGTCATATTAAAGGGTATATCAAAGGATGTTCCAGCAGACGATCTTACAAAAATTATTAGACAGCAAAATGAGGAAATTAACGAAATTATCAGTGATGATGGTTAGGGCCTCAAACTAAGATTTAAACGGGACAATAAGAACAATAACCTGTATAACGTGGTTCTTCTAGTTGATCCTAAGGTATACAGCAAAATGTTAACATTGGGTCGTATCGGCATCGATTACCAGCGCGTCCATGTTGCTAGCTTCTCGCCGTTCCTCCAGTGCCACAGGTGCCTGCAGTTCGGCCATACAAAACTAAGGTGCACTGCGGACCAAAGCTTCTGCTTACATTGTGCGAGCACAGAGCACGATGTGAGCAATTGTCCTAACAAGGATAAGACCGACAGCGCAAAATGCATAAACTGCCACACACACAATACGCGTTTCAACACTAAACTGGACACTAAACACACGGCTAACTCCAACACCTGCCCACGTTTGCGAGCCATGAGGGAGAAGATAAATAATCGTGTCGACTATGGATACACGTAATAAATTAAAAATTTTACAGTGCAACCTCGACAGATGTAAGAATACACAACATGAGATTCTTCTCTCCTTTATGGCTGGTGATTATGACATCGCCCTCATCTCCGAGCCATATATTGGTTCTGGAGAACAGGTAAAATCAACATTTGGAATTGACACATATCAATTTTTCACGGGCAACAAGATTAAGGCCTGCATCCTGGCAAAACCAAGATGCGGGTCCATCTTGGGACTATCGCAATACTCTACATCCAACTTCTGCGCAATAAAAATCACGGTTGGTAATCGCAATATTTATATTGCGTCTATATATGTGGAACCCAATATTGACGAATCAAATACGCTCGATAAGCTTGACGTCTTTCTTAAAAACACAGGCGATTCTCATAAGATTGTGGGGGGCGATCTCAATGGGTGGCACCCGATTTGGGGAAGCGTAAAATCAAACCCAAGGGGCAACGAAGTTATAGATATAATACACAGCAATGACATGTATGTATGCAACGTTGGTAACATCCCTACGTTTGAAACGGTCACCCACGGGCGAGATCGCTCTTCAATAATCGATCTCACATTTGCTTCCGGCTCCATCATCGATAACATCTTGGAGTGGCGTGTCAACTTGAACATTTCACCAATTTCCCAGCATAATGCAATAGACTATTGCATCGACTTTGACACATCTAACACCACATACACATATCAAAACTCCACTTTCCTGTACAAATCTAATAAAGCTTGTTGGCCTATCTTTAAGGACAAACTGCACACACACATGACACTCACAAACATACTCGAACATGACATTTCTACCCTGAACGTTGATGATCTGGAACATATCATCAACGAACTAACCAATGTGATCCACTCTGCATGTCGAGCCAGCATGCATGTTAAAAGCCGGGGAACAAAGCCCAAGGCTCCTTGGTGGACGGAGGAGTTGGAGACCCTCAAGCGGGAGGTGGTGGATTTACACCATCAGCTCCACGCTGCCAAGCGCCAGGGTATGCCTCTGGAACATATTTTAGAAACGAGGAAACAAAAAAAGGAACTATACGCCAACAAGATGCGTGAGGAGTCGACTAGGCATTTTCGTGAGTTTTGCGAATTGCAAACTAAGGAAAATGTCTGGTCACTCACGAACAGACTTCTCAAAAATGCCACCCCTAGGCGCCCACCAGTCACTCTCAATAGGGGCTCCACCTACACCACAGACAGCCAGGAGACTGCCAAAGCACTTCTTGACCACTTCTACCCAGATGACTCACCAGACACCTTAACGCGACATCACGAGCTCAGATCAGAAATGACCGACCTTCCTCAGTCCCACGATGATCCTCCCTTCACCCAGGAGGAGGTGTTAGAGTGCTTAAAACAAATGAGCCCCAAGAAGGCTCCCGGATTTGATAACTTCACATCCGACATATGTCAGCAATTTGCAACAGATTACCCTAGACTCCTGACAGATATACTGAACCGTTGTCTTACACTCCAACACTTCCCTGACCAGTGGAAAACAGCATACGTAAAAATTATCCCGAAACCGGGCAAGTCCGACTACAGCGCATTAGAGTCCTTTCGTCCAATAGGACTTCTACCTGTGTTTGGCAAACTGTTGGAAAAGCTTTTTATCAAAAGGGTCGTATACCACGCGCAGCGAAACAATCGACTAAACAAATGTCAGTTCGGTTTCCGGGAACAGACAAACACGTGCGAAGCCATTCACACAGCTCTTAAAATAATTAAATTAGCCAAATCAGAAAAGCACCTCAGCATCGCGATATCTCTAGATATTAAAGCAGCCTTCGACAACGCTTGGTGGTCCGCGTTCCGCGATCGGAAGGTCATCCTTGACCATGCGGGGAGGCGAGTCACCAAGACGATGTCTAAGGGCTGCATACAAGGTTCCACGTGTGGGCCTGTTCTCTGGAATATCATACTAGACGAGCTGCTCGATGCGAGGCTTCCAGCGGGCTGTTACATACAGGCTTTTGCGGATGATGTTTTGCTGGTTGTCACGGCCTCGAGTGTCGGCGAGCTGGAGAGTGCTGCCAACTTAGCTCTCCACCATATAGTCGAGTGGGGAAGGAGCGTCAAGCTGACCTTCGGTCCCACTAAAACTAAGCTCATTGCCTTCACTCCCAAGGCTAAGGTAGCCAGCATTAACATGGACGGACACCGTCTTTCCTTTGTGCCAGAGGTTAAACTGTTGGGAGTCATCTTAGACGAAAAACTAAACTTTGGGAAACACGTGAAACAGGTTATCAATAAGGCCGTGCGAATCTTCAACACACTTTGTATGTACTCGAGACCCACATGGGGAGCCCATCCTGAGAACATCAGTACCATTTACCACCAAGTGATCGTGCCAACTATCACCTACGCTGCTGGAATTTGGGGACACGTTGCCCAGAAAAGGTGCATCAGGAGGGCACTCGGGAGCATGCAGCGCGGATTTGCCATTAAGGCTATTAGGGGATTCCGCACGAAATCTTCATCCGCGGCCCTGGCGTTAGCCCAGTTTATGCCTCTGGACCTGAAAGTGCGGGAAGTTTGCGCTGTGGAAAGAGCTCGGCTTCTGGGTACCTCTGACTACATCCCCAGCGACATCCCTCTAGAAAAACCAACTCCCGTCTCTGAACTCCTGCATCCTGCCCAACGTATTTCCTTTATTCCTAAAATATTTACAAACTTCACATCTACGGGATCTGCATCCGAACAGACGACACATTTTATATTCACTGACGGTAGTAAGCAGGAAGACGGTGCAGTGGGAGCCGCTTTCGTGGGCTATCTCCCTACTAATCTTAATCAAGTGGCTTACATAAAGAAGTTTAAATTGCACAACACGTGTACAGTATTTCAAGCGGAGCTATTTGCCATTCTGCAGGCATGCAGGTGGATCAAAGAACACAAATATACACACACGGTCATCTATACAGATTCACTCTCATCTATACACGCTGTACAAAACAGAAGCAACACACACCCCATCATTACACAAATACACAAAACTATACACGAGTACCGAGAAACAGGCATCATAGAATTGGGATGGGTCAGGAGTCATTCTGGCATAGCTGGCAATGAGGCAGCTGATAAGGCTGCGAATGCTGGCTCCAAGTTGCGCAAACAACCTGACTACTTGGCCTTTCCCGTTTCATACCTCAAACACACAATCAGAACTCAAAATCGCGCGAAATGGCAAGCTAGGTATTATAGCGCAGAGCAGGGCCAACATACCAAACGACTGCTTCCGACACTGGAGGATATCGAGAAGTTACGCACCCTCACCAAACCCAGTTTTTACCTCACCCAGGTGCTCACCAACCATGGTTTTCACGAAGATTATCTTTATCGCTGCAAAATAATTTACAATAATTATTGTCCCTGTGATAACGTCACCCCAAAAACTCTGGAACATCTCACTGAGCATTGCCCTGCATTTTCAGTGCAACGATTAAATCATGCATCTTTGTGAAAATTTAACTCCTCCATTTAACTTAACCGCATTAATGAAGAAGGAGTCCCTTTTGGACTCTTTCATTCAATTTGTTAATAACATTTTTAAAAGACTTAAGAACTTCAATAAGAACTGTGCATCTGTAAATAGCAATAGTAATAGTTAACTAAGCAACCACTTCTCTTTAATTTGTTTTCTTTATTTATTCTATTAGATATAATTAATAATTATTGTATATTGTAATTGTTAAACGTTTGATTATCATTGGAATTAAGATCCTTTGAGCTTTTAATATTTTAATTTTCACTGTTATCAACCCTATTGTACTCACAATTTTTATTCATGTGCCTAGAACTAAGATTGTTTATTTCAATTAATTTCATTGTCATTATATTATTTTATTATACCACTGTTACTATAAAACGTTTAGAATTAAGATTACTCTATGAGTTCGTTTCCTCCCTTTTTGCTGTCTTTATACAACGTTTACTGTGTTTAGAATTAATATTACTTAATTTTCATTATACTATACTGTTACGCGCTCAAGTCGACGATACACTAGCGCCATCTAGTGTCAGGAACGAGAGCGAGGGGAGCATTGAGAAAATGACATCACAAATCACTCCACCGACAGCGCCTAGTCGAAACTCGAACGCTCGGTACCTTGCGCGTGTTTACTTGAACATTCTGGATATTTCTTTGCTAATTTAAATAAGTAGGCGCTGCAAGATGCGATCGGAGTAGTGTTGATTTGGCGAAACAAGCGAAGCTTCGGATTGGAATAAAGTGAATTAGTGTGTTTAATTATTAGTGTTTTTAACTTTAATTTGTGTAAAGTAAATTAAAGTGTTAATTTAGGCAATTTTATCGGCAAATTTTATTGTCACGAACCTCAAGCTCGTAACAATACTTTTTGCTTATAGTCAAGATTACTCTTTGTTGTAGTATTTAATTCATTTTATTCTTTCTTTTTATATTTTCATCACTCTTATTTTTCTTTTCTGATGTGACTACGAAAACACAAGAATATCTATGATAACCAAATGGTAATTTTATTGGAATAATAACTATGTACAAAAATTTCAAACTCTTAAACAAATTATATTAATATAAAGAGAAGGAAGAGAAGCCGTGTAGTGGCGGTTGAGAATATCCACTACCCCATATCTTCCCGTGGGTGTCGTAAAAGCCGACAGAGGGAGACAGGCAGGAGATGGGCAGCAGCATCTTCCTGATAACAACTGTGACGTAATAAAAAACTGCGGTTGCCAACCCGCTCGCCAAGCGTGGCAACTATGGCAAATACCCCCCAATGAATAAATACACAAACAGACGGCCCCCAGTCCCCGGCGGCCCCGCTATTCCTGGCTACGGTGGCGACCATGGTAACGGCGGGGCAGGGGGTGCTAAGAATCTCCGGTGGAGGTTCGGTTGCCACCTACGACGACTCGACCTGGCAACATATAACGCACGCACCCTGAGGACTGACGAGAAGATACTAGAGCTGGAAGAAGAGGTAGACAAGTTGCGCTGGCATATTATTGGATTATCCGAGGTCCGAAGAGAGGGGGAGGACACGGCAATCCTCGAGTCCGGCAACTTGTTCTATCACCGGGAGGGCGACCATCTGTCCCAAGGAGGTGTCGGATTTATCGTCCACAAGTCTCTCGTCAACAACGTTGTAAAGATTGGGAGTGTGTCGACGAGGGTCGCGTACCTGATACTCAGAATCACTAAACGGTATTCGCTGAAGGTCATTCAGGTTTACGCACCAACCTCGGCACATCCCGATGAGGAGGTGGAGGAAATGTATGAGGATATTTCCAGAGCCATACATTCCTCCAAAACCCACTACACGGTGTTGATGGGAGACTTCAACGCAAAACTAGGCACAAGAGAAAGCGGTGAGCTGAAGGTAGGGAAATTTGGAGTAGGGCAACGGAACCGAAGGGGCCAGCAGCTGGCCGACTTTATGGAGAAAGAGGGACTCTTTATGATGAACTCTTTCTTCCAGAAGCGGCCCACAGGAAGTGGACCTGGTCGAGCCCCGACGGTTCGACAAAAAATGAGATTGACTTCATTATGACGACCAGACGCCAACTGTTCAGTGATGTCTCAGTGATCGCAAGGGTGAAAACTGGCAGCGATCACCGAATGGTTAGAGGCACACTGAACCTAAACGTTAAGTTGGAGAGGTCTCGTCTAATGAAGTCAACGCTCCGTCCCCCTCGTGCTCTAATCCAGAATCCCGAAACCTTTCAGCTCGAGTTACGTAACCGCTTCCAGTGCCTAGAAGATTGCAATGCAGTGGACGATATGAATGACAAGCTCGTGGAAACTGTCCATGCGGTCGGAGCTAAGTTCTGCAAGACCCGCCGCAGAAGAACACAAAAACTCTCCGATCACACTCTTAATCTCATGGCTGTTAGACGGGACATGAGGCTGCAATCGTCAACAGATTTGACAGCATACAGGCAACTGAACAGACAGATCTCCAAATGCATGCGGCGAGACTTACGCAACTTTAATACTTCTCGTATTAAAGAAGCGATCGAGCGGAACCAGGGCTCCAAAGTCTTTGCCAGAGATCTGTCTGCCAGAAAGAGCCAACTGTCAAAGCTGAAGACTGAGTGTGGCAACATCGTTTCCGGGACACCTGAGATTTTGAGTGAGATTGAGAGGTTCTATGGGCAGCTGTACACATCATCGTTGGAGCCACACGTAAGTGTGAGTAACGATCCAAGAGCAAGTCTTATCCGACACTATTCCGATGATATCCCGGACGTCAGTCTGAGCGAGATTAGAATGGCTCTCCACCACCTTAAAAACGGCAAGGCCCCGGGCGAGGATGGAATTACAGCGGAGCTTCTGAAAGCGGGTGGAAAACCGGTACTTGAAGTCCTTCGGAAGCTCTTCAATTCCGTCCTCCATGGTGGCACTACTCCGGAGGCGTGGAGCAGAAGCGCGGTGGTTTTGTTCTTTAAGAAAGGCGACAACGCTCTCTTGAAGAACTACAGACCGATTTCCCTTCTGAGCCGCGTCTACGTGCTGTTTTCGAGAGTCATTACGAATCGTCTCGCACGCAGACTCGACGACTTCCAGCCTCCCGAACAAGCCGGTTTCCGAAAAGGCTTCAGTACCATAGACCACATACATACCCTGCGGCAGATTGTACAGAAGACCGAAGAGTACAATCTGCCACTTTGCCTGGCATATGTGGACTATGAGAAAGCCTTTGATTCCGTCGAAATTTGGGCGGTGCTACAGTCCCTTCAGCGGTGCCAAGTTGACTGTCGGTACATCGAAGTGCTGAAGTGTTTGTACAGTAGGGCTACGATGGCTATCCGAGTACAGAACCAGAGTTCGAAACCTATCCAACTGCAGAGAGGTGTAAGACAGGGTGATGTTATATCCCCGAAACTCTTCACCGCTGCGTTGGAAGACGTTTTCAAGCTACTGGACTGGAAAGGATACGGTATTAACATCAATGGCGAGTACATCACTCACCTTCAATTTGCCGACGATATAGTCGTTATGGCAGAATCGCTGGAGGACTTAAGCATTATGCTCAATGACCTCAATAGTGCCTCCCAACGGATAGGTCTTAAGATGAACATGGACAAAACAAAGATCATGTTTAATGTCCATGTCACACCTATGCCGGTAGTTGTTGGGAGCACTATGCTCGAAGTTGTTGACGAGTACGTTTACCTGGGACAAATAGTCCGACTAGGTAAGTCCAACTTCGACCGAGAGGTCAATCGACGGATTCAACTCGGCTGGGCAGCGTTCGGGAAATTACGACATATCTTTTCGTCAGGTATACCTCAATCTCTAAAAACTAGATTGTACAACCAGTGCGTGTTGCCAGTGATGACTTACGGATCTGAGACGTGGTCCTTCACTGCTGGCCGAATGAGGACGCTTAAGGTCGCTCAGCGAGCTATGGAGAGGGCTATGCTTGGAGTTTCTCTGCGTGATAGACTCAGAAATGAGGATATCCGCAGTAAAACCAGAGTGATCGACATAGCCCAACGGATTAGTAAGCTGAAGTGGCAATGGGCCGGCCATATAGCTCG